CACTCCAGTGGTTTGTGATGGGTTTCGACATGAAACCTTCACCCAAGCAGGTATGGTCTCCACTTATCCAGGGCCCAGACGATCGCTAAACACTCCTTCTCGATGGTGGAGTACTTCTGTTCAGCGTTAGTCAGTACGCGACTTTCATACTCGAAAATTCAATTCCTCTGCTTTAGGACTGCGCCGATGCCGCGATCACTGGCGTGCGTCGCACAATTAACATCTCTCCGACCCTGGGAAGTTTGAGGGTCAGTTGCTGATCCAACATCCGCACTTTGACACGCTCAAAAGCTTCATGTGCTGCTCCGGTCCATTCGAATTTCCGATTTTGACCGAGCAAATCGTACAGTGGCGCAGCGATCTTGTTGAAATCCCTAACGAACCGGCTGTAGTATGCTGTTCCTCCAAGAAACCGACGTAGGGACCGCTTTGAATTGGAAACAGCACAATTCTTGGTCTTTGCTAATTTTTCTGGCAGTGGGCTAACTTCCCCCTGACCCAATTTATGCCCCGGCATTGTCACCGAACTCCGAGCGACCTGTGTCTTGGCTTCATTTATCCGCAGGCAAGCCTCCCGTATCCGCTCCAACACAGCCATCAAGTGAACTACGTCCTCTGGTTCCGAATCGCTGTGCACAATGATATCGTATCCGTACACGGCGTCATTCCGGAATCCCTTGGTTACATGAATCATCAAGCGCCGGAATGTGAATGGTGTCCCGGACAAACCTAACGGCATTCGTCTAAATTGATATTGGATGTCCCCAACCGCAAACGCCGTTTTCTCCCGGTTCTCCTACTTGATAAGTATTTGCCAATATCCGGAACGCAAGTTGAACACAGTAAAATATCGGAAATGCTGGAGGGAATCGAAAATCTCTCCAACCGAAGGCACAGCCACAACCCGGTTTACGGTCCGTTCATTCAAGCGCCGGAAATCCACGCAAAATATGTATTTTCCGTATTTCTGTATTTCTTACAAGCACAACTGGGGAATTGTACGCACTGTTGGCTTCTTCGATTATACCGTTCTTCAACATCTCCTGAATCTGCCTATGGACCTCCTCCCGTAGCTGGAGCGGCAAAAGACGGGAGCCATAATGTCGAAAGCCTTCTGATGACAGAGAAATTTCGTGCTCAATCCACTGGCAGAAGCCAAACGGTTCCTCATCGCCCGTGAACAGTTCGGAATATTCCTCAACCACGGCCCGTATTGACGATACATTACAAGACGCAAGTCTTCGGACGCAGCTCCCTCACGACTGTGCCTGGATAACCTTCAAACTTGATTGCGCCATACTTTGTCACCAGCCTTCCCTGCTTTAGTTCAATCACGGCATCTGTACTCTTGAGAAAATCAGCCATCAATATTGTCTGCTCTACGTCTGGGCTGATCAGGAACGCGTGCTGCACGGACTTGTCGCATGGGCGTACCGAGTGCGTTGACAGTCCGTCAATCTTCAATCGATATCCGCCAACAGCTCTCAAGGCTAGCGCGTACAGTCTGTGTTCAGCTTGGTTCCCTCTTTGCCTCAGCGATACGCCTGCTTCTGTATCAATCAAACATATCTACTTTTTTCCGTCTACCTCGACAATGGCTCGTACAGTAGCTTGTGTCAGTGCGCGCTAATCGCGACCCACCCAGGAAAAGAGGAGTACTCTAAAGTGTGTACAAGCGATCGTTTACGGGGACATTGATTATCCCAGTGGCCAGGCCTTCCACACATGTAGCACCGGCTGGATCGAGCGTGCCTCCCCGATTTCGTCTTCACGTCCGCCGGCTGTTCGATGAGCTGTTCCACCCTGGTCTGCAGTTCCTCCACTGATGAACCATCCCTGTTCGCCGGCGACTGCAACGTGGCCAGTGGTTTCGGGCAGCTCCCATGCCGGACGCTCCAGCTCCTCCACACTCAACTGGCCAGTTGCTCGCGCCAACCGCAACTAGGCACGAAGCGCGGGCTGCACACGTTCGACGAACTGATCCGACAGCAACTGGTGTCGCGACACTCGGTCCAGCGTCGGCAAAGCGCGATCCAACAACTGCAGCAGGCCGGCGAAGAACACGGTCGGGTCAGATCCGGGTGCCATCCTAGTCGTCTTGAACCGTCTCATAGCCTCCTGGCGGTCGGCCGGCGTGTCAAACTCCGCCTCAAGAACTTCCTTCACCAGTCCATCTTCCAAGGGCATCTTCTGGTTGCATCCGGGGCCGCCTTCGCCTGGCCCTTGAGGAGTGTCTTCAGCGCTACCAACGTACCCCGGTCGGACTCCAGCCCGGCAGCCTCCGCCACCTCCTCAATGTCCTCCAGGAAGGTCCGAACATCCCCATCCCCAAAGGGTTACGGCCAAGGGATCTTCCTCCTTATCCTGGTCACGACACCAAATGAAAGAAAGAAAGCCTTCGCTGCGGAGTTATTTATTAGGAAATGCCAACTGACCGGTTACAGACCATTGAACAGGGGCGCAAAACGCTAATCTGCATCTTAGTTACAAAAACTGGACACAGATCTTCTCCCGAACGAGTTTTCCTAGAGATTCGTTGCCTGCACTCATTCGTCGGTCGAATCCAAGCAAATGTTACAAAGTGGCCCCACGAATTCCGCAACCGAATTCCCTTTTTCAATCGACGCAAAGCGAAATTCTGCGAACAACACATACTACTCGTGTGCCTCCCCAATCAGTAGTATCACCGTTACACCAGTACATGAATGAAACCTGATAGCAAATAAATTTTGCCGGTTCCGCCGAAATCTTGTTCGTTTGCTTACGGTAGACGATACGGATTAGCCATTAATTTGAAAGTTTCATTTTGGGTTGGGTGGAACCTAGCCAATAACAAGGGACATTTTTAAACAGTCGTATTCAAGTTTGATTTAAAACGTATGTTTTAGACGCAAACCTGAAATTTCCGTAGCCCTAGCAGCTTAAAACTTTAGCCTATATATTTCGTTCTGCATTCCATTGAATTATATGAGTCAGCTACAACCACTCAGGCCTAAATAACTATTCCCATTGTGAGCATCCACGTTTGGGTGCAGCAAACTCCAAAAAGTAATTTCATTTGCAACATCGAGCAAAATACTTGGTTTTTAAACGTAAATTATGAGATCTTTTTGTACACGTACCATCTGTTATGAATCTGGAGCGAACTTCTGGGTAAAGAATTGCAGGCTAGTAAGTAATGGGTATCAGAATTCAACTGGCGTTTTCTGACATCTCGTCAGCCGAACTGCATGGCTGAACTTTTGTGTTCATTTGGGATAAATCCGGAGCACGTTTGCAGAAATATTCACCCTACTAGTTCGCATAAGTGGCCGGTTACCTAACAAGACCGCATTAAATGATTCAGGCACTTGTGAGTAGGTAACCTGTGGTAACTCAATGACGTTGACTAAGCTACAGGCATTGCCACAGAATAGCCATTCACATTTGAACTGAAGGTCTCACTGGCTGTGACTGGCTGAATTTGATCCCGTACACACTGTCATCTATTAAATTTTCGGTGGTGTTGAAAGATTAACTGTGAGAAATGGCATGATCATACACTAGATACACTTCCGTGAACACATCCAGCTGCAAAGAACCGAAATTTTACAAACCCACACTCATTAAGCCAGCTGTTCAAAGCTTAAGGCATTAGATTATACCTGGTTGGAAAAGTGTTCAACATCGGAGATAAATAACACGGTGTCACTAGGTTCATCAAAAGTTCGTGTATGTTTGTAATTCCAATTTCAGGGATTGAAACCACTAAACTTAAATTATACTGTCCAGGATTGTTTGCATGCGTTCAAGACTTGTGCATTGGTGTAGTGTTCCAAACACCGTGCCATTCCGCATAATTGTCACGTTCATTTCGGCGTCTAGTATTTAACTGTAGACAGCAACATCAATGTAGTGAAATCAATGAAAATCTGTGTCTTGACAATCAATTTACGCCTACGCGCTGAGATTACTCCCATCGCTGGGTCCAAAGTGGATGCAAAGCTGCGGTGCGCATTGCTTAGTCAAAGATATCCGCTCTTCATGTTTCACTACTGATTTAAGTAGCCTTAAGTACTGTTCTAACAATAACAATGTGTAGTCTTCTGATATTCTGTGTGGTGTATTTTCTATCGGTTCATAATTGCCGCCTAGCAAACTCCAGTCAAGCGCCGCACAATTTCCAAATGTTTTTTTCGTGGATATTTTGCTACTTGCCAAAGAAAACACCTCTAAAATAGATTTTAATGACACAGGTTTATGTATATATAATTTTCCAAATTTATATACTAGCTTTTTCTCATTTATGATACGACAAGCCTCATTAGGTATATTATTTTCACTACATTCACCCTCACGGGCGACAGAACTCAGCAGTTACAGCGTACATCTTGGTTTTTGCTGTCTACTCCTGGGCGAGTGAAATTACCTCAACCCTTCATTCATTTTGCAGGTGCCATGGCAGCTAGGCATGAAGAGAAAGTTAAATCTGAGTTTTTACTCACATCACTACAAGCCTCACAACTTCGCAGTGTTTGCACTCTGTTATGTAGAAGCTTTCCACGTGCAAAAGTTGTGTCGTCTTTTCCCATTTACCCAGAGTATTTTCGGTTTATTTAGATTTTACCTGCGTGTGATATTTGAATTGATTTTTTATGTAAGATTGATTAACTTAAATGAATTCCTATTTAAAATATTTTGATGGTTGCTCCTGAGGATGCTTTGCGAAAACCATAGGTTTGCCTCAGATCACATCGGATATTTGCGAACTTCCATGATGACAATACAATTCTGCTCAGTTTGTGCAAAAGCGATCTAGAAATAATAATTTACATTCTTCGTGGAGATGGACATTGATGTGTATGACATTCAGGTAAGCCCGAGCGGAATACAGTTTAACCGAGACTCATGACGTGTCATCAGTTATAAATGGACAATTAACATTTAATACGATTTCGGTAGATTCTTGTGGTCCTGATTTTCGATGACGGCTTGAAACAAAGCACCGCTAGTCTTATGGCCGCATCATAATTGGTTATTCCAACACACATGGCTGCGTGGAAATGTCATTTTCAGATTTATAGAGCTAGAAAGAAAACAGTTTGTTGGCTGAACTAATCAATTTCGTGCTCAATTGTCCGTTTACCCTGTTTGATGTTTAGAAATCACCAGCGTCTTTTGTGGAATAAGGAATATTTCGATATCTATGTACACTACTTCTATGTAAATTTACATCTTGATAAGAGTGCCGAAATTATAACAGTATGTGTGTTGGACATCTATATCTGAGTTGCTAAAGGAGGCTCATTTATGAACATACTCCCTTAGATGGAGCGGCAGCGGACGGTTGTTGTCAGGTCAAAGTATGCGGATGAGAGGGAAATTTCGTTTTCAATCCATGGAAGCCAAACCCTTAGATGGAGCGGCAGCGGACGGTTGTTGTCAGGTCAAAGTATGCGGATGAGAGGGAAATTTCGTTTTCAATCCATGGGCAGAAGCCAAACGGATTTTCGTCGCCTGTGAACAGGTCGGAATAATTCTCGATTTCGGACTGTTCTAACGGCGCAATGCAAGATGGAATACTTCGTGCACACACTTCAATCAAATCAATAAAGGTCACAACTCAGGACTGGAAAGGACAAGGATCACTCTAGCATCGACCAGATTACGACGGCAGGGGATGCCAAGCTCAAAGGTCACGTGGGCATCAGCGAACGGGGCACAGGACAACGGAGCAACCAATGGAATCGCCCGACCGAACAACTAAACGCGACCAAAGGTCATCCCCTGCTAGCAGCACGTATATTAACACACGTACAACACTACCCAACGCACAACCAACAACCCACCGTTACGCGCTACTACGCTCCACAATAATGCACTGATGATGTCACCTCGATTGGTGATGAAACGTTTGCAAGCAAATTGCCTAGCTCAGCGAACAAGCCAACGACCACCATCTACGCCACCTGAGCTACCAACATTTTCCTCCATAGAAAGTCGCCACCTATTTTACCCCCCAACATGCAGGACCAGGTGGCTGTTTTACGGACCACTAACCATTGATGAACTTGGTATAAGACTTTCGCAGAAGCACACCAGGTTCAGCACATTTCGTCGCTGAAGTCACACCCATGTCATACCAAGGTAAGATCCAGTCTCTTAATGTCACTTTGACCTCAGTGGTGGGAAGATATTTCAACTTTGATGTTTAATTAAAGGACCACGTTATGTTATTAATATAGGTGATTAGGATATGTCTCAAAGGTAACTGTCCCAACAATATGTACAATGTGAAAAACTGGATTCATGGTTTCCTAGTACTTGGTTTCAGGCAACATTGCCGTACACAATAGGCTCTGTCTATTATTCCGTGCTGAGGCTAATGAAGACAAAAGGGGATGCGTTTCTCTTTCCACTTTACGTTACAGCACCCGGTTCAAGTGATTACTACTGCATGGTCCCTCATTCTCTTTCCGATCGTAGGTTTTTGAGCTGGCTTCAACAACTGAAAAATGATACACCATTGAAACTTGAACACTGATGAGTCCATGTGTGACATTTTCTTGTTCGTCCTAGAAACCTTTCAATAGTGGATGGACATCCAAATGTGCTCCAGCACAAAGTATACAAGTGGACACGATTAAAGCAAAAGCACAAGCAAGTCGTGGTTATCCGTAGCCTTAGTTTGGACTCAGAGTTATCTAATATGGTAACAATGCCTTCAAGATCTAGAACCGTACATTACAGAGAAAACACAACTTACGCGAAGTGGCATTCGAAGCTAAACCTATCCACCACTCACTTTATCTACGAGGGAGACTAGCCAAAACCTCGGGATGTGTCAACGAAACAACCAACAAAACTTCACTAACGATAAAGCCTCATTTATCTGCATATTGCTAATCATGAAAAGGAACAAAAAAATTTTTCAGTGAGTGAAGACCAAGAAAATGATGATAATTCTGGGAAAAAGTGAATGACACAAAAATAAAGACACATTACCCTGGTTGTAAATGAACTTAGCTGCCACAAATCAGGCCACGATACACTTCACAAGACTCAACAGGTTGAGCGAAAGGGTTGAATGAGAGTGGTCTCTGGAACACTTCCTACTGCGATAGAAAACTAGGTCAACCTACGCCCGCGAAACGTTGGATTCATGGATGCGCTGTAAATGTGCCTCGCTAGCAGTAGTCACTACTGGTACACTGATAACGAACTGTATAATCTGAGTTGAGTGCAATATGGTCAAATCCTAGATGCGCACTTTGTCACGCTTCGCGTCCTGGGGACTGCTTAGTTTCGGGTGTGAAGCATCTTACCTGATTTTGATATAGCAAAGCTACGGAACGAAGTAAGGGCATTCATGTTTCGCGGGAAAA